CCCCCCCCCTCCCCCCTACGGCCCCCCCTCCCCTCACCAGCTGGATGGCGATCATCAGGACGGTTTTGAGGGTGAAGGTGCGGTCGCACAGATCAAAGAGATCCTCCAGGCTGGGGCCCAGCAGCTCCAGCACCATGGCGTTGTATTTCCCGCAGGGGCCGAAGTAGTAAACCTGAGGAATTCCTTCTGCGAGAGAGAGGAAAAAGGGGGGCGGTGGGGAGGGGGGTCAATGCGTGCAGCAGTGGGGGGCGCAGCCCCATGGCGCCTGGCGGCGCTGCCTCCCGCGGCTGGGGGCCCTGGGCCGTACCTGCATTGCCGAGCTGCTTGTAGAAGCGATATTCCAGGTGCAGCTGTGGGGCCCGGGACTTGATGGGCTCCTGCGAGGAGGGAAGAGGTGCTCAGTGCTGCTGGGGGGAGGCCCTGAGGTCGCCCCCCCCCCGCCCTGCACTGCAGGAGGACTCACCAATTTGATCGCTACGTATTCGTTGGTGTAGAGGTTCTTTCCTGCAGGGAAACACCAACAGAAGGCATCGCCACTGAGCGGGGCTCCCCGTCCCCACACCCACAGGAGGACCTTCCCACCCACAGCTCCTAAAGGCCGAGCTGCAGTGCCCACACAGCTCAGCACGGCCCTGCGGCAGCCCCCCAGGACCCCCCCCGCTGCCCCCACGCAAAGGACCCCTCCTGCAGCCCAACGGAGCTGCATCTGCTCGGGGTTTCCTCCCAGCAATCTGCTCCTCCTGCCACGAGGTTTCATCTGAAGCCACCTGAAGCAGCAATAAATCCTCACCGGGTGACAGCAGAGCCAGCTGCCGAGCAGGGTTACGGGGAAGGGATGAATGGGGGACAGGAAGGGAGCGGAGAAGGCAGGAGCTGCTGCCCCATCCGTGCAGGGAGCTCCCCAGCACACAGTGCCTCTGTGGGGACAGCAAGGGAAAGTCAGAGCCTGCCGTGGTTCGGTTCCAGCCGGGGCTGCTGGTTATTCACCACAGTGCTGGAGGATGGGGGATGAGAAGGGGAGAAGAAATGCAGGGGGGGCCGCAGCCTGGCTGGATGGACATCATGAATGTGAGCAGCAGCCCCTCCTGTGATGTGGGGACAGGGAGACCATCAGCATCACTGCGAGCTGCTGGGCCCCAGCCTGCTAAACAGGGGGTGCAAAGGTAGAGGGAGCGAACAGAAAGCTCCAGGAGGGGAAAAGGGAAGGAGAACGGAAGGAGGGCAGGGGCTGCTCAGCCAGGCCTGTCCCTGCACAGCCCTGAATTTGTCCAAACTATGGCCGTGTTGACACCTAAAAGGCATCGCCCCCAGGTGGCACCTCACTGCTGCGGGGCTGCATGGAAGCGGAGGTGGTTGCGAAGCAGAAAACTGAAATCCAAGCAGCAAAACGGGTGGCAGAGAGCAAATATTTGCCTTTGCAAAGGGGCCCTTTGCCCCATCAGCACGGCGCTGCCTCCAAACCAAGCCGTGCGATGGGGCAGCTGCTCCCACACGTCACAGCTGCACAGCGAGGGCAGCTCAGGCTCTGAGTGCTGACCATGGCTGTGCTGCTCCCTCAGAGCAGCCATTGCTTTTAATACCATCCGAGAGAAAAATAAAACAGCACGAGCTCGGGGTTTGTGACACCGCAGCCGTGGGCTGAGGACCCACTCCTGTCTTCCTGCCCCCTCCAAAGAGCTGCTTTTAACTTTAGAAAGAAGAGGTGACAGATGGAAGTTTAACTTGGAAAGAAAGTCACCGCGCTTCCGTTCTGCTGCTGGAAGCAGAAGCACTGGGGTGGGGAAAGGTAAGCAGTCACCAAAAGGTCACAAGGAGAGACAAATCTGCACACGTTTGCTGCCTCTGAGGTGCAGCTTTGGGGCAGCCTGGCTGGCAGGGGGTGCAGGCAGGAAGCAGCAGTGGGGACGAGATGTGCCCTGAGGGCTGCTTGCTTTGTACCCACCTGAGGACGCCTGGCAGCCCGTTCTGCCCCCACACCACGACCCGGCCTCTCTCCTTCCCTCCTGCAGCACCAGCCCTGCCCCACAGCTCACAGCCTGCTTCACCTGGCACAGACTGAACTCCTGCAGGCATCAGCTGTGTGCCGGCACAGCCCTGCTGGGATTGCAGGCCTCCCCTGCCCCCCATGTCCATTGGGGAGGTGAAATCCCACTGAGAACCTCCCAGGGCACGTGGGGTCACAGAACCACAGCATGGCCCAAGTTGGAAGGGACCTCAAGGATCACAAAGCTCCAACCCCCCCATCACATGCAGGGCCGCCAACCTCCCCATTTCACAGCAGCCCAGGCTGCCCAGGGCCCCATCCAACCTGGCCTTGAACACCTCCAGGGATGGACGGGGCATCACAGCCTCTCTGGGCAGCTGTTCCAGCACCTCACCACTCTCATAGCGAAGAACTTCCCCCTGACATCCAACCTCAATCTCCCCTCCCTCAACTTCAAACCATTCCCCCCTGTCCTGCTGTTATCTCCCCTTGCACAGTGTTGACTCCCCTCCTGTTTGTAGGCTCCCTTTAGGCACTGCAGGCTGCACTGAGGTCACCCTGCAGCTTCTTTTCTCCATGCTGAACAAGCCCAGCTCCCTCAGCCTGTCTTTGTAGGGAGCTGCTCCAGCCCTCAGCTCATCTTTGTGGCTCCTCTGGCCCCTCTGCAACAGCTCCACGTCTTTCTTGTGCTGGAGGCCCCAGACCTGAACGCAGCACTGCAGATGGGGCCTCATGAGGGCAGAGTAAAGAGGGACAATCCCTGCTGCCCACCCCTCTTCTGATGGAGCCTAGGATCCTCGGGAGACAGCGCTGCTTCCCACAGTGAACCCAAAGGGAGGGGAAAGGGGAGAGACGGACGAGGCGCCGCAGCGCAACCTTCACCCCACAGCATGTGGGAAAGGAAGCGCTGAGCAACAGAACCCGGCGGGGTCAGGGCTGCCCACGCAGTGCTGGGCTGCAGGAGGGCACGGCAGCACGAGGCACGGCGAGGACAGAGGAGCAGAAGGCCCTTCTCACCTAGGCGGAGCTCCCCGAAATTGCCGCATCCGATCTTCTTTCCGACGCGGAAGTTGGGACCCACCATTAAGACTCCCGAGTTGGTTCCGGCGCTCCGACTTCCATGGCTGCTCCTTCCTCCACCCGTCTTGGACATCCTTTTACCTTCCTCCAGCTCCCCTTTCCCTCCTCTCTTATCAAAATCCATAAGTTTGTGATACCCCGGCCTCTCCACGGTTACGCTGCTGCCATACAAATCCCAGAGCTGCTGAAAGTTGAGGGGGAGAGGAGAAAAGAAGCGGGGCTGCCCTCGGTCAGTGCAGCATCCCGGTGTGCGGCGGGGGGACGAGCCGGGCTACTGCAACGTTGGTGCCTCCCGAGGTGCCGCCGGGATGGTCATGGTCAGCGGTCACGAGGAGATCTTTGGTGGAGAGAACATCCTGCAGACGGGGTCCTCCCAGCGCCCGGCGAGCTGCGGAGGGGGGGAGAAAGGAGAGTCGGTGAAAGACGGAGCTGCGTGCCCAGCACCCTGCCCCACGGGGTGGGAAAGGGGTAAAGGGGGGCTGCCGTGGGGAGAGCAGAGCTGGAACTGCTGCCCTACGTCCTAAGTGGGAGGGAAGTTGTGCCGTGTGAGGCAGAAGGCCGTGGGGAGGACAGGGCACCCAGAGAGGGGGGGTGGCAGAAGGGGGCTGAGCTCCATGGAGCAGAGCACCCAGCATGGGGCAGCTATGGGGCACAGAGCTGAGCTCCACGGAGCAGAGCATCCAGCATGGGGCAGCTATGGGGCACAGAGCTGAGCTCCACAGAGCAGAGCACCCAGCATGGGGCAGCTATGGGGCACAGAGCTAAGCCCCACAGAGCAGAGCATCCCGCATGGAGCAGCTATGGGGCACAGAGCTGAGCCCCACGGAGCAGAGCTCCCAGCATGGGGCAGCTGTGGGGCACAGAGCTGAGCCCCACGGAGCAGAGCTCCCAGCATGGGGCAGCTATGGGGCACAGAGCTGAGCCCCATGGAGCAGAGCACCCAGCATGGGGCAGCTATGGGGCACAGAGCTGAGCCCCATGGAGCAGAGCACCCAGCATGGGGCAGCTATGGGGCACAGAGCTGAGCTCCACAGAGGAGAGCACCCAGCATGGGGCAGCTATGGGGCAGGTCCCGGTGCAGAGCAGCTGATGGCTGCACACTTTTGCTCCGTGCCATGCAAGGGGATGCGAGGCCCCATCGTGCTGTGGCACAGATGCCGGCACCTGGGAGAGAGGTCTGGGTGGAAAGGACAGCAGCCCAAGGCACAAAAAGCCCCTCTGCTCACTGTGAGCTGACACAAACATCAGTACTGGGGCAGAGGAGAGGGATGGACAGACAGCCAGGCTCACACAGCCATCACAGAAGGGTTTTTGCCCCCGGAGCAGTGGCTGCAGTCCCCTCTGCTCCCCTCCAGCTCCTGCTGCACTACTGTCAGTCTTCAGCTCTGCTACCGTGGGTTAACCAAGCAAACCCAGCCCCCTCCAGCACTCAGACTGCAGGAAATGAGCGCACTGCAAGCCCTGACGCTCAGCCAAAGCCCATAAAACTTTTTACTGGCTTGCAATAGCTATTAATAATAATAAAAAAGGCTTCTTGTGCTAAAGGATGCACGGGGGGAGGGGGGACGAGGGAGGGTCTGAGAGCACTTTCAGGCAGCCCAGGAGCTGCAGGGCTGCCCTGCTCCCCCCCAGCAGCACACCTCGCTTTGGAGCACAGCGCCTGCAGTGCGGCTGAGCAGTGAGGGTTACGGGCTCCGTTCCTGCAGGCTCTGAGCTGCCATCTCTGGAGCATCCTGCTCTGCACCCCAACGCTTCAGCTGCTCCCACCCTCCTCACTGTGCCACGCTGCCATGGCATCAAACCTAAGGGCTGAAGCTCCGCACAGCGAGGCGCCGGGGACACCGAGCTGCCCTGGCTGTGGGGCAGGAAGGGCTGCGGTGATGCTCAGAGCGGCGCCTCCCCGTGCTTTGCTCCCCCCAGCACACAGCCAGCACGTCACACCCTGCTCTTCGCTCCTTGATGTGGTCTTAAAGCAAAGCAGAGCTCCCCTGTAGCAACGTGAAGAGCTCTGGGTCCAGGAAGCAAAACCAAAACGCGCTGCAGAGCAAAACGCGAGCGAGCAGCGGCCCGATGGAACGGAACTCCAGAAACAATGAGAGCCCCAACGGGGCCACGCAGAGCTGCTGCTCTGGGTTTCCTCATCTGCCCTGCAGTTTGCAGCCTGAGCTGAAATATCCACGCTCAGAGGCTCCTGAGCACAGCTGCAGGCCTGAAAGGCTGGCAAGGTGCTTCTAAAAGTTCTTTCCCATGCAGTGAAACCTGGCAGTGCCAGCTGGGGCAACACTGTTCTGGGCCCTGCAGGCACAGATGCCATTCCCAGCCCAAAGAGGTCACAAGAGAAGAACAAAAGAGGGGAACGGAGAGGAAGGAGCTGTCTGGGACAGGCTGCACCCTGCTACTGCTGCTCCTGGCACACAGCGTTGCTCCCCACCTGCACGCAGGATGGATCCCAACGCTGCAGAAAGGAAATGCAGCTGCATGCAGATGAAAGAATGAGAAGCTTCTGAGAGCACAAGGAAGAAAAGCCCTCAGCACTGCACTGATCCTGCCCAGCCGCTGCCTGCAGTGCCCTTCGGGCATGGATCAGGGTTGGAGCTCCTCAGCAGCTGAGAGCTCTGAGAAAAGCCCTGTCACCATAGGAGGGAAATCGAGATGTACACAAAATCCAACTGTTCCTCATCTTCTGGGAACTGAACATCCCAGCCCAGTTTGTCTGAGCCCAAAGGCAGCACCTCCTGCAGGACAGCAGGAGCAGCACCTGAGCGCAAGGCGCAGATCAGCGTGGGCTGCCATCTGCTGCACCCACTGCTCCTGCTGCAAGGAGGGGAAAGCTCACAGCATGGAGCAAACACGTCCTGGCTCTGCCTCCCTCTGTGCATGGGGATGCTGCAGCACCAGCAGACGTCCCAGCCCAACAACAGGCAGCAGCTCCTTCCAGCCCAGCTTCCTCCCGGGCCCTCAGGGTAAGAGCAGAGCAGTGGTGAGAAGGGTAAGAAGCGCGGCCATCCAGTGGAGAAGGCAGCTCTGGGTGAGAGCTGTGCCACCACAGCTCAATGAAGGCCCAACGGCTCCGTGCTGACGTCTCTGCAGAGGGCTGGGAGCAGCAGAGCTGCGGGCTTTTGGGGTGAATCCCATCAGAAAAGGAAGTCCTGGCAGCAGCTGCCTTCCCAGCAGCACCCCGGGGTTCCTGCTGCCGCAGAACATCTTCTCCCAGCCCTGCAGTGAAGCAGAGATGGTACCCAGCCCTCCTCACCACAGCTGAGCTCTCCCAGCTCTGCTCACTGCTTCCTCCTTCGCACGTTGGTGTCGGCACAACAGGAAGCTCCCATTAAACACCTCACTGCAATGTGGGGCTGCTTAGGGCAGCACGCAGCTCAGCTCCGCAGCTCCCATCCCACAGGGCTGACAGCCCGCCTTGCATCTGCCTGATCTGGGGAAAAAACACAACAAAAACCCCCAACGAAACCCTAAACTGGGAAAGCAAAGCTTTTAATCCAACATGATCTGAGCATCCTTGTTCCAAACCTCCCCTCCCTTTTCCTGGCTCCCTGCTCCGTGCTGCCCAGCGTCCCTTTGAGGCTCTGAGCCACGAAAATGAAAAACGCTGGGATTAGGAAAGGAAATAAATAAAAAGGAGGAACGGTTTTGAACTAAAGAAAGGGAGATTTGGATTAGATGAGCGGGTGAAGGCCTCTCCCAGAGGGTGGCAGGGCGCCGTCCCATAGGAGCCCCATGGAGGAGGGGCAGCCAGCCCTCGGGGGGCGCTGGGTGATCTTTAGGGTCCCCTCCAACCCAAACCACGCCACGATTCCACAAACGAAGAAAGCATTTGTTGTCCTCCCTCCCCATCCCTCCCCCCAGTCTGAAGGGTGCTGTGAAAATGATGGGTTTTTCTTCCTGAAAATGATGGGTTTTCCTTCCTGCCCTGCAGCGCCCGCCTTCCCCTTCCAGCTCTGCCACCCATCAGCTGTTCCCCACGCCAGGAGAGCTCCCTCCCCAGCACACATCACACGCTGCAGGCTCTCCTCACCTCCAACCTCCCACCTCTCCAGGCCATTTTCTCCCAGCTCCCAACCATTCCCGCAGCCCTTTCATGGATCACCATACATCACCCAACGGAGAACATTTGCTATTGACACAGCTCTGCTTCACAGCTCGGTGGCCTGACAAATGCTCGGCTCCACTGAGCTCTCACCACGCAAAACCAATAATGAGTCACGCATGATTTCATTCAGATCTTTAGAGGTTACAAGCTGACACATTCAAAACCATCAGGCTGCTGGAAAAGCACAATCTCAGCTGCTCCTGAGATCCCAGGGATGGTGGGGAGGGATGAGCATCTCTGCTGAGCAACGCACCCACAGCCAAAGGCAGAGCTCTGCTTTTCCTTGCATCCCCATCCAATGCCATCGCACCTGGATGGAAAATATTAGCAGGATTTTACCACAGAGCAGGAAATGCCACGGCTGGGATTTCAGCAGCAGCACGGGAACCAAGGAAAAGGCTAAAAATACAGCCCTAGGAAATACAGTAATAACAGTAAATATACAGACGCTAAAATAAGACCAGGTCTAAAAACGAGGCTGAAAAGGATCAAACACAGCACATCTGAGAACTGAGTGCCCCAGAGAGCGCTGAGGGCTTGGGCTCAGCAGCCACAAGCTCAAACTCCCATTAAGCCCACCAGAAAGAAAACACTGATGCTCTATCAGAGAGCCCCGAATGGAAACAGTCCTGTGGTCGGCTGCGTGCTGCTCTAAGAAGGACTCTGTGCCTGCGTTCAGCCCGGGGTGAGAAGAGATTGTGCCCAACTCAGACCCAGCAGCTCTGGCTCCTGAGCCTCGAGGCCTTCTGCAGCACAGCCACTGGGCTGGATCCACAGTGCATGGCAACAGCAGCAACCCCAAACCAACGTGGGGTCAGGAGCAGCAGATCCTGGGGCAGGAAGGAGCTGGGCACCAAACTGGCATGGGGTTGGATGCAGCAGGCTGCGGGGCAGGGAGGAGCTGAGCACCAGCACCCCCCACCTGCTCACTGCTGCTCTCCGAGACCATCAGCAGCTGCTGGGCCGGCAGAGGCTCTGCTCCAGGCTGGGAAACTGAATGATGAACAGAAGACCCAGCTCCAGCTCCAGCCTGATGCCCTGCTGCTTGCACCTGGTGCTCCTGTGCACAGGGCAGGCAGTCTCCTTGCTGCCATGTAAGCAGGATGCTGGAGGTAACAGGAGCAGCGATCCTTGTGAGCAATGGGAAAGATGCAGGCTTTGCCCCTGCATGAAGTAACACGGGGCCATAACTGCAGAATCCATCACATCTCAGCAGTTCAACACAAAGAGGCCAATCAGGACGCTGAAGTGGTTTCGGTTTCACGCGTGCAGACGCAGCAGTA